TTCAGATTGAGAATATTCCCCCCTTCGACTGCTATTTTTGTTGGATACAGCAGTACCATGTGGATCAGAAAATAGCCACAATGTCGTACAATTAAATCCCGATGAAGATAAGTACTACCTACTCACACCATATCCAACATTAATGCCACCACTAAAAAAGTTTTCACCCGAAAGCATTAGAGCTATAGACCGAAACCCAAATATCGATTTACAATCAATTGGCATCTATACTAAACCCTACATACAACACCACATTCGTACACAATAGTTTCAAGAACTACTTACAAAAATGGACACTATACAACGACACTCAATAGATCAAAACTTACGTAAGCTTGCAGAAACAACAAATTTTCAGACATTTACTCACAAAATTACAGCGGATACTTTAAAAATATAAAAGATTATATTTATCTAAACGGTGAAAAAAATCGGAGCCGAAAAGTTGGATCCCTTCACCGTTCCATTTCCCATCCAGCCAACCTCCAAAACCCAATTCCCATCATCCCACTTTTTGCTTTCCCGCCACCTGAATCACCCCATGTTAACAGATACCCGGCATGGATTCTGACTCTAATTCAGACATCACCGTTTTTAACACAATTTCCCAATTTAGTAACTCAGACATCGAAATCCCAGACGAACTTGCAAAATCCGAACCCAGCTCATCAACATTTTCTCAACCCCCTTTCGACCCATTGACTCCCAATCCACAAATGATTCCCCCTGTACCATTTCTCATGATTCCCAAGCAACCCCGACATACTCTCCCTTTACCAATGACCGTTCCAACAATAATTCCCCAGAAACCACGCAAATCTCACAAGAACTAAAAAATCTAATAACACTACAGCAAGAAATACAACACCCTCACACCCTTAACCATTCACCAATTATCATCAAATATAACTTCATTAAATCCACCAACTCCTACACTCTCTTCAGATTATACCCCTTCTTTAGCTCAACCCTCAACATCAACCCATTCATCATCCACAACTAACTTTGCATATAGAACATTCAAAAGAAAATTTCCTAACCACCCATTTCCCTCCAAACCCAGAACAGCCCGCGATTATGTAAATCATACTGACCACACTAATACTCCCGACTTTCTCCAAAATTCCCTGCCCCTCTTCCCCCAATATACCATTGGCCGTTCCAACCCTCACACTGAACAACCCCACTATGTCGATGAGCATGTACAAATCCCCACACTTCACTGGACATCATTTTTTTATTTCTCAAATCCACTTTGTGTACCACTAAATAACCACCTCACGAAGTAGAAAAAAGTAAATTTGACCTTTTAGACTAACCACAGCACTAACACCTAGACAATTTACGCATGTAGGATATAAAAAACTTTTAAAAATTTTCACTGCACACCGAGCTTATGATTATTCTATTGAATACTAAGATCACAACATCATCAGACCTAACCAAGATCAATTTCTCGACGAAGATAAGTTCGCTAACCCACAACTAACCGAAATTTTTTTCATCCAATTACCTTACATCTTTACACTAAGCTCACTAGATAAGAAACACGACCACATCATTTCCAAAGCAATAATCGACATACAAGCTTATGAATCATTTTACGATTAATTTGAAATTTTTTCACTAACTTTTCACTTCCTCACTCCAAAAGAACGAGATCTGCACTGTTCACACGACATCATGTTAAGAACTAAGCAAACGCATACTTACACATATTATAGATTAATTCAAAATCATTTTATTTTACACACACCATCACGACAACCACACCATCGTTTTCAGTTTATTAATTCAAAGTACACTTCGCCATTTTTCTTAATTTCCACTGACTGTATTAAAATTACTAACTTCCAAGGCATTCTCAGAAATTACGACTGATCACCCAAATATATATGATTTGTCCACTCACCAAGACCTTTAAAGTAGAAGAATCCCGACCCCTCATTGTCCCGCATGAATATATTCAACCGATAGAAATCCCAATATTAGAATTCGTTCACATATAGAATATAATCACAAGCTTTTTAACCTCATCCAGCACACAAATCACGAGTTTTCCATTGGCACTGAAGAACTAAACACCATAAAAGCACTTGAATTGCATTGGCCACTGCTCGAAACTAAAAACATCATTCGCATTTTAACAAAAATACTAACCACATAAGATTCAATACACAATATCTTCCCTCATGGCTTCTTCCCCAATAATAAGGTAATTATGAATTAAATAAATTAACACCAATAAACTCAAAACAAACTAACCATTTCTTATGAAATGTTTTTTCATTAGTCTTTAGATCACCATCATCTACAAACAGAAAACAGAAAAAAAAATTGCAAACTCTTTTGTACATTATAAACTTTTCAAATTGCAAACTCTTTTATAAATCATAAGCTTTCTTTACTAACCGCAATAAAAGACGCAGTAAAACTTCTTCTCCATAGCAGTAAGTTCATCTGTAGATTCTTTACCCCAATGTAGTAAATCTAAATACACTGAAAATAATTTAATAATTTCAATCCCCACAATGCAGTAAATTTTAAATTTTCAGCAGTAAATTTATACAAATGTCAGCTGTAGTAACCTTTTCAAGAATCAATCGCACACAAATTCTATCCACACTCGCACAGCTCGCCCACGACGAATTGTTTAAAATAGTGATTTCAAGTTTTAACTTTCACTAATAACAACTCAAACTAATAACAACTTTCTTTTAACCCGGTTGAAAAGGAATTATATAATAATCCCAACTAACCAACGCAGCTTACTAAACACCATAAACCACAAACTAACAGCAAGACTAAGACAAGAAAACCCACAGTACCAAACTGGATTAAACCAGCTTAAAAAACCGATAATTTATTCTTTTGAAGACTATTGATAAGTTTCAAAAAGAAAGCATAAAACACCAAAAAGTCGAAAGTCAAACCAAACCAAACAATTTGATTTTTGAGAAAAGGGCACAACTAAAACAACAGAAGGAAAAAACGAGAAGCAAACACGACACAAAAGGTTAACACAAAACAGGACCCCATAAAAAACCAGCATGAAATCATACCCTCACTCCTGGCCTAACCCACCAGAAGCGGACGACATCCTGAGCATGCTTAATAGCCGGCCTAACCTACTGTGCTAGAACTCACGCTTTGTGACACACTCCTTATTATTTATGATAAAATAACTGAATTAAAAACAAAAGCTTTTGCCATAAAAACTAATAAAAAATCTTAACCTAAAAGAAGGACTAACTAAACATTTTTTTATGTAAATTATATAATGCAGTAATATAGATCATACACAATCACGAAGACGAGCATCAAGCAGCTAAGACAACCTCATCACACACAACCCACAGAATGGCTGAACACAACCGATATGCCGCTCACAACCACAACTCAAAGGATTTGAAGTACGAATTGACTCCGAAGCAAAGGACTTCATTGAAACAGACCAATAACCACCTCGATGTTCAAGTATACGTACAGATCCGAGTTACAGGGCATTCCCTCCAAACTCGAGCTTCACGCCATTCCAAATTCAGATCGAAACACAGTTCTCCACACCGATCAAGAACCGACAATCATAACAAACCATTTTGAAATCAGATTGATTTTGTTGACAGTCTCAGTCATCGTTGAATGACAAAATGAAATCTACGATTCCAGTTTCCTGGAGATTTCTCCTCCAAGAACGGAATAGAAATGATGCTCGCGAAATACAAACAATCAATCATCCATCCTCCATTACAGAAAGAAGTCAAAGAAACAAAAACTCTGTAAGCCCCGGATGGGTGGAACCTGATCCAAACTATATATTATTTTTGGTTAAAAATTAGATAATTTATCCCTATAAAATATTAAAGACTAACAAATCATACTCCATCTTTTTAACAACCCATTTATTTGTAAGTGCTGAAGTTACTTGTAATTTCAGCACCAAAGCATTCTGAATTTAACTTACAACTTAGTTGCTTTTTCCAAGAGACCGACTCGTAACAAACCAGTATACTCTAGATCTTTTGAGACTAAGAGATATAAGAGTAAGATTAAGACCGGTATTAGACTAAGAAGTTGCACGAATCTATCCGGCCGAAAATAAGATAGCGTGACGAGCAGACGGTATACCCTATCTGAAATTATTCTATGAGTTAGAGATCATCCCAACTCAGTCTGGTCACAGCCACCGCAATTCAATATCGGTGAAAGTTTAAGAAAAGCTTTATGTTTAAGTAATATCCCTTTTGATTATGCCCATTCCAATCGGACACAATTTGTATAATTGGTCCGGCATTCGCAGGCACAAAATTTGAGCCACTTTTAGTACGATCCATATCAAAGAAATTGCTCAGAATATTTCACATCTCGCAAAACGAAATTCTACGTCAGTATCCTCAGATTGGGTTCTCTCGCGTACCAGCCGGTGCTTCGATGCTTTGATTATTTTCCTACAGGAAGCTCATTTCACTTTCAAAAATTTAGCACCTCCTCTTCTTAATGATTTTTCTGAAAAAAACGGGACCTCCGGTTTAGGAAAGACCTATTAGGCTCCACAAGTGATACAATACTACTCGCATTACAAGTTTAACAGAAGCAGAACTGAGATAGAAAACAGTTTGACTGCTTCGGTGATAGGCCAACACGCCAAAGGGCCAGGCCAACAAACCAAAAAGATTATTACCATTCCAAGAAACTGAAAATAAAATTAATCTATTCAATGTTGTTATGCAGATGTTACGTAATTCTGATGCAATTTACGAATTTCTGATGCAATTTCGGCTTCAATATATGGCGGTTTGTTGATTGACGGCCGACTGCATCAAAAGTGAAGCGACATTTGAAAGACTCTGTTTAGCCAATAGGAACGCTTAGCGATTTTGATTGGTTTAAGTTTTTTAGATTGAGAACCTTCCCCCCTTCGACTGTCGTTTTGTAGCTTGTCAGTTTGTTGAAGCTCGTTCGCGCAAGTTTCAATTGTCTTTTTGAATTTTTTTACCTACCCAAAGGTTCCACATTTTTCTTTTGGTAGCCGTCTTTGTTTTTGTATTTTTGTGACTTCTCGTTTCCTTTCTTTGATGCCGCCACTGACGGACTGGAGTTTTTCCTGTTTCCTTTCGCTGAGCCCGGCTTCAAATCTGTAAAAAACCAAAAACGGGTGCTTTCTATATGCATTAGGTTTCCATATCTCCTTTATCACTACAGTGGTGAAAAGGAAATAAAAATATTGTCAAATTTTGAACTACCAGCTTCCAGTTTCAAGCGTTAAAAATCGAATATTTTACGATTTCTGTACCAGTCTTACCAAAATTGAGAAACAATCAATGTTAATCAATTAATAATCGATTATAATGAGTTAAGACCTTTTTGGTAATACTCATAGAGTAATTTCAGATAAGGTACACCGTCTGCTCGTAACGCTATTTTATTTTCGGCCGGATAGATTAGTTCAACTTCTTAGTCTACTACCAATATTAATCTTACTCTTATATCTCCTAGTCTCAAAAGATCTAGTGTATACTGGTTTATACGATTCGGTCTCTTTGGAGAAGGCAACTATAGTCTAAGGTTAATTCAAATCGCTCTGGTGCTGAAACTACACGTAGTTTCATCACTTACAAATAAGTGGGTTGTTTAGTTTATAGAGTATGATTGGTTAGTGTTCAATATTTTATAGAGATAAAATATTATAATAATATCCAATAATAATTTCCAGTTTAGATCTGGTTCGAATAATCTCTCTTTATAAAAAAAAGTCATAATTAATTATAATCCTTTATAATCGATTATAATCAATTATTTATTCGGCTATTTTTCGATACAATTATAATCGGTTATAATTGATTATAATACATTTTTTTTACTCCAAATTCTAGTTCATTAGTTTTGCACAAAAAATCCATTATAATCGGTTATGATTGATTATAATCCATTTTTTATATCCATTTTGTCTTCGAAGTTGCATCTAAATTGCTAATACTTAATGCTTTTTGTAGATCTTGGTTCCTATGAAAAGTGAGAAAAATATTTTTAAGGTTTTCCAATTAATTCAAATTTACAAGTTTTTTTCTTTTCCTCATTAGAGTTGTTTTTTGATGCTTTTTTAAAGCTTTTTCAAGCACCAAAACTTCAGCAAATTGATTTAGCTTTTAGCTTCATGATTGATTCGAAATAAATTTTTTTTCATCTACCGTGGGAACCTTTCCACTCATATAAAAGGATCTCTATCAAACTTTTGTTTTGTGGTAAAACCGTGTATTCAGATGAACCAAAGTGTTCTCTCTTTTAAGGATTTTTGACACAAAAATAATAACCCATAGGATATAACTCGAATATAAATTTGAGTTGACAAAATTTTGGCAAAAAGGAAGTTAGAATCGATTATAATTGATTTTAAGGGTTTTTTGTGAGAACTATAATGAAATATAATCGATTATAAGAGATTATAATCTCTTGGAAAATATCACGATTATAATCATTTATGATTCCTTTAAACACCTTATTTTAACAATTCTAATCAATTATCATTGTCAAAAAATCATAATAATCCGTTATAATCGATTACTTTCGCCTTAACGTGGATGCAGGTAAGTTTTCAAGGGGGTATGTGAAGTACTATCAGTCTTGTAATGCTGCCTTGCAGCGCTGATACACAGCTTCCAATGTTGAAAGTCTTATGATTCTGCTCTACTTAGTACTCCTCCAAAAGCGATATGATTTTTGGACACCATTATTTATTTGGTTAGCTGAAACTTACTTTAAAGATCATACGATTTATAAATTCAACTTTTATTTGGTTTTAATCCTAACTTCAACAACCAGATTAGCTCAGTTTGTATCATCTAATAACATCTCATTGTCAACAAGCGTTTCCTTAGTTGTCCAACTAGGACCTTCTATAGAAACTCTTTACAGTTGGTTTGTCCGACAATGAGACGGCGCCATCCAATAAATCGTAAAGGCGCCATCTTCTTTTTTTCAAGGCGTCCTCGGTTCGTAGTATGTGAGTTTTATTTAGTGCTCAGAACAAACTAGGCAACTCGAGTTCTTGAACAAATTTAGATTATTGTTTTATATACGGGATTGAGGGGATTTGTTTGGATGAATTATAATCTACCGTATTGTTGTGTATCACCTGTTTTGTAGCTTCTGCGTTTGCTGCCGCCAACGGCGGCGCCACCTCCCTCGATTGTGTTGTTTTCAGCCAACTTCCCATCCGCTTCGCTAGTGTCTGCTGCATTTATCGTGCTGTCCACCTGGTTGTTGCTCCCCACAGCCGCCGACTTCTTCCGTCGCTTCTTTTTTACTTTCTGCGGCGTCGGCCGCTGCTGCATACATGAGCTGTCGTTGAAACTTGTGCCACTATCTGACATCCCTGTTTCATTAACTAGTGTAAGTTGTAAGGGAAC